ATATATCTGTCACCACACATAACAGTCTCTCGCTAACCCCATTATCCCCATCCTCCCCAGCCTTTCTCAACACAGTGCGAGCAGCATTGCTCTAAATCCGGGGGGCGCGGGCGCGGGGGGGGGGGGGCGGGGCATGAAGAGAGTGTCCCAGGGCTGGGAGGAAGCGCAGCGCTGAGCACCCTCATATTTTCACAGACGAGCAGCTACTGCACCCAGCATCTGCTTCACCCTGATTTGTCCGCAACCCTGGCTCCCCTTCTGGCACATTATAAAGGACTTGTGTTTGGAAAGTCTGTTTTCTTACACGGGGTGGTGGTGGGGAAGGTGCCAGCCTCAACCAGCTTTCCTAAAGTAGGAGACGGCTCCTCCCACTAGAGGGCGCCATTATCCCATGCTTTCCTCCTACGCTCACATGGGAGGATTAACGTTTCTAGATCTGTGCTTCTCTCAGGAAAATCAACCTGAACGGCAACTGTCCTCTATCTTAGGCTTCAGCTTTCGCTCCCTGCAGCCTCAGAGCCCATCCTTGACCCTAGGACATGCTATTCTGGGACAAGTGGCTCAAACCATCAGTTTTACACAATCTCATCTGAGAGACTGTTAGAGGCAGAGGGAACCTTGCTTACATACTTCCTTCATCCTCCTGTTCGACAAATCAAGATTCAGAGAAGCTGGGTGACTTGCCAAAAGAAGCACAGCCAAATAGGGACAAAATCCAGGCTGGAAGTTGGGTCTCCTGACTCCTCATCCTCTCTTATAATAGTGATATTCCAAAAAAAACGAAACAAAACAAAACACCTACTATATTTATCCAGCATTTACTTGGGGCCAGGTATTATCCTGGACACGATCCTCACATTTGTTTATTCATTCAACAAACATTTGCTGTATATCTTCTATGTGCCAGGCACTATCAGAGAAGAGAATATGGTCATGAACAAGTTAGGCTCCTATTTTCAGGGAGCTTACATTCTAGTGTGCAGGTGCAAGCACAGAGCTCTGTCATCACGGAGCTTTGCCTTTGGGGAGAAAATTGCTTTGAGAATGTTTAGAGAGATTTCACTGTAGAGATTTAGATACCTCTAAACAGATAATACTGAAGACATTCTAGGCTTGATAGTAATTTATTTTAATTATATCTCATCCAGCAGTTTGAGAGAGACCTCCGGCGCTATGCCACGCATGAGCGGAAGATGGTGCTGGACAACCATGCATTATATGACAAGACCAAGGTAGCGTTGTCTACCCAAGATGGGATTCTTTGATCCTCATCCCAATGGTTGGCTCCCTGAGCACTTTTCCTGAACTGATTTTAGTGTCCAGGTTCAGTTTCCTTTGCCCTGAGTGTCCTGTTCCCACAGATCAGAGTTGAGGGCAGCTAGAAGGATCCTGATGGGAGCATGGCCCCCACCTGGCCCAGAATGTACCTCAGGGGCTTTGGGCTCAAAGATGATGAGCTTGTTGGGCCCTCAGAACCAGTCCAGCAGTGAACATTCATTGAGTCTGGTATATCTTTGGTATTTTTAGTGAATAATTCCAAAGAAAACCAAGGATTCTCCCAAGTCATAAATACCATTCAAGTACCCCTTAAATGCAATGAGCAGTAGCATTGTAAGTGACCACATAGGTCATTAATGAGAGTGTTACTGCAAGAGAGAGAGCAACAGAGCTGCCCTGAGATGTAGATGAGCAGTCAGCTAAGCTTACCCACCGGCTATGTAACTCACTTGGTTAGCCTTACACTGGTCATGATCCAAATTCATGCCTCATCAAAATGATAAATTACTGTATGAATTATGAAGAGTTAAATATTCATCTGTTAAATCTACATGTTAAGGTCTACTGTTCTTACAGTGGTCAAGGACACTAAACTAAGCTCTGAGGGGAATAAGATACAAAATAACTAGAAGCAATGATCTTTACGCTCTAGGAGCTTACAGTCTAAATGAGCTGTATTTAGTTAGAGCTATCTCAGTTAAAAGTCAGAAACCCAATCCAAGATGGCATAGCAAAAAAGGGGTGCTTGGCTTATATATTGCAGCATCTGAGGGTAATACTGACTTCAGGTATGGCTGCATCCAGCTGCTAATGCAGGTTTTCCCATGATTCCCATCCTTCCAGCTTAACAGAGGAGAACCTCTTTCCTAATAGGAAATATCAAGAGTCCTAGTTGATATTCATTGGCCAGGCCTGGGCCGTGTGCCCATCCCTGAACCCTTTACTGTGGCTTTGATTGGTCAGGCTTGGATCATGTGGCCCTCCTTGGAGAGGGAATTAGCCCCACACCTGATCCTCATGGATGGAGAGGAGGGAAGGGTGGTTTTCCAAAGAAAAATCAAGGTGCTGCTGTCAGATAACAGATTGTAGATTGGCAGGAAAGCCTCAGATGTCAAGCATGTGAGTGGAGGCAGACTCACATAACACAATTTAGGAATGCTTACAAATGAACACATTCTAAATAGTTTAACATAATGGAGTATATCTCATATGCCCCCACACTGTGCTAAAGGCAAGAAGGGATGACAGAGAAGTGCTGCTTGATCTAAAAGAGATCATGGGGTGGGAGCCTGGTGGGGGTTGGGGTGGGGCAGGTGAGGAAGGCCAGAAGAGGAACCCAACATATACATGTAACCTATAATTGCCTCTCCCCGTTACCTCAGAGCAGCAGTGCATCATTCTGGCTGCACATGAGATTTACCCAGAGCCTTTAAAAAGATTGATGATAGGACCTCTCCTGAGATTCTCATTTCACTGGACTGGGGTGTAGCTCAATGTTTTTTTTAGAAGTCCCTTCATGTGGTTCTAATGCACAACTGTGGTTAAGAACTACAGACCCATAGGAAAAATACCAAATGCCCATAGCTAAATATAAGGTTGTCATACGTAGGTAAGGTGTCATAGGTAAAGGTAAGGTTGTCATAATTTTACCTTTATCTATGAAATACCACATTTTTGGGTGGGAAAATGTAAAAATTACAGAAGTCAGTTAAGATAAAAAAAAGCAGTTAGGATGACTTTTTATACTCAGAAGCAGGGAATTATGTTTTCATAATAATTCATTCTGCCAAGACAATTTATAAGTAAAACTTCCACTATGTCAGCATCGAGATGTTTAAAAATATCTGAATGCACATATTTCTTTTTATACTTTCAGAAAATATTCCTCAAAGCAGAAAGTGAAGAAGAAATTTTTGCACATCTGGGATTGGATTACATTGAACCATGGGAAAGAAATGCCTAGAAAAAGTTGTCAACTTTTTTTCAGCTTTTTTTTTTCAGGTTAAATAAATTATGCTTCATATTGTAGTAAAGATGCCTTAGGAAAATATGAGATTCTTTAAGCCTTATTGAAATGCAGATTGCCATTAGGAATAGTTTTGGAAACTTGATAAGGCAGCACCTGGTAATGGGTTCTGCTCTAGTAGGCCATTCATATGACCGTTGCTTAGAATTCACAATGCATTTTTCCATAGAAATGATGTTGAAATTGGTGGCTTATTTCAGGGAAGCTCATCAAAGCCCACTTTGCCCACAGTGTAGCTGAGATACTGTATATTTGCAATAAAAATAGGAGGAAACAAGAGATGGTGGAGTCTTCTTTTTCACACAAATACTATAAAAATATTCTAAACAAAAATGTAACAAAATGAAAACGAAGAGTTGAAGACTTATCTCGAGGAGAGAAACACGTTTAACTAGAAGATCAGAGATTCTGGAGGGGGTTCTAGGTCCCTTCTGGAGCTTTTGGAGGATGGGGTACTAACTCTAGACCCACTCTGCTCAGGTCATAGTCTGCTTCTCTGTCATCATGGAGCTGTTCTCTAGGCGTCCCAGCAAAAGGCCACACACGGGATGTATTCCCACTGCTTTCACTCAGAAGTACAATTTCCTAAATGCCAAAGGAATATCTCCCCTGTTTTCTATCTCTGAGTCTCTCGCTGGATCTTAGTGGCCCTTTCTCTCTCAGGGAGATGCTTTCTCTTGGTCGTTTCATCTTAGGATACCCAGGGTAAGGGAGGCAGCCTTGAAAGCACATGTTGGCAGGTGGCAGTGATTGATTGAGTTTGTAGAACTTGTTCGTACTTGTTTGAAGAAGAGGGGACTTGTTTCTGAGCAATCAGAGGCCCTGTATGAGAAAGAAATGCCTCCACGGCCTATCAAAGTGGAGTTGGTGGATGGATCCTGAGATGCTATGGACCCAGGTTCTCCCACTAGGAGACTCTGCTTGTTCACCAGCAGTGGCCCTCTCTGCATGAGGGAACCAGGACTCCTGGGGAAGCCTCCTCACAGAAGCCCTGGTGAAGGCCTGACCTGAGCCAGCTGATGCTGTTCACAGACTTTTCCTCAGATGGCAAGCAAATTGCTACTTAGCCCACCCTTCTGGTCCTGTGTTCATCCACTCTGAGTCTTCTCACTCTCTCTCCCTAGAGAGTGCAGTGGAAGCCTTTCTCTCCACTCCCACAAAATGGATATAGCCCTCATTTCTCATAATCTCTTGGAACAACGCTTGCCTTCACTCTACCATATTACCCTACACACACACACACACACACACACACACACACACACGCAGAGTCTATTGTAGAATCACCTTCCTTATGTACTCTCTGATCACAAACACCAATGGGAGCAATGAATGATCCAGCTATGTGCTACCCCTGCGGTCAGGGAACATATGACTCCACATGATTTCCACCTTGAGATGTTCAGGAATAAGAAATTGCTTCCCCTGAAACATCCCCTTTAAGTTTTATTTATATCCCAACTTGCACCATGTTAGCCCTGGCCAACCTTCCCATGGAAGCCAGGTGTGATGTTTTTTTGTTTTGTTTTGTTTTTTTGAGAAAAGAGATGTGGAAAAAAGATGATAAGGCAAGACACACAGAAATCAAGCCCCTTTCCCAAAATCGTGAAGAAAAGCATAGGTCAAGACCAGGATCAAAGGGCTCCTTCTGGACCTCACTTGGTGCTTCACTGCTTATTAAACAACAAGATCTGAGTGTTGGAATGAGTCCTTATTCTGTCACCTACAGAGACAAATCAACCCAAAGTTTTCCAGATCTGCAATGGAAATTTGGATTGGTTAAGAAGCAGCTTAGTATCTCTCCTCACTCTGAGCACAGATCCCTGGGTTTTCAGCTCTGTTCCAGCTCTAGATCTGCTCCTTGACCGAACTGCCTCATTCCAGGCTCAATCTGGGCACAAGCCACCACAATCCCCTTCTTCTCTCCATTCCGACAGGAGGACGGTAAGTGTCATGCATGGGCTCCTCGCTTCCTGCTACAGTCTTCACATATACGTGGGCTCCTTCTGCTCCCGTCAGATTCTTCTCATGTGTGGGTGACCTCCTAGGATTCTTGAGAAAATAAACAGGTTTTTGAAAAATAGAGCAAAGACTTCTGCTTCTGGCCCAAATGGAGCAACAGCAACCAGATTTACCCTCCCACCTGAAACAACCAAAAGTCAGGGAAAAAAACCCAAACATTTAAAACAATAGTTACCAAGATGCTGGACATCAGGCAAGGAAGGATGTAATTCTTGAGAGACAGAAAACAAATGAGGGGAGGCCGACAATTGCCAAGTTTAATGCCCTGGCAGATTTTTTTTCTGGCCACTCAACTCTCTTCTGTTTAATGTTCGGATGGCATTCCTTTTACCTTAATCTATTGGTGTCTTTATATTTAAAGTGAGTTTTTGCAGGCAGCATACAGTTGGATCTTGTTTTTATATCCAAACTGATAAAAAAATTTTATTTTTATATCTCTGCCTCTTAATTGGGGTATTTAGACCATTTTTATTTAATGAAGTCATTGATATGGTTTATTTATGGTTCATTTAGAAATGTACCATCTTCCCATTTGTTTTCTGTTTGTTCTGTCTGTTCATTACTAGTTTTCAAATATTTTTCTGCCTTCTTTCATATAGATTTTAGGAGTATCTTATTGAGTTTCATGAAAAAAAATCTGTTAGCATCTACTTATTTATTGGGAGAAAGACAGAGAGACAGAGAGCACAGTGGGGAAGGGGAGAGAGAAAATCTCAGGCAGACTCCCCGATGAGCATGGAGCCTGACATGGGGCTCGATCTCATGACCCTGAGATCATGACCTGAACCAAAATCAAGAGTCAGACACTTAACCAACTGAGCTACCCAGGGGCCCCATTGATATACAGTGATTTTAACCAAGAGTTCTTACCTCAGCAATCTTGGGATTGTCATAGATTTCTGAAATTTCACATGGTCTCTCACTTTCCTAAGTTGGTAAAAATAAATTAAGAAACGAAGAAGAAATGAAGGGTCACAGCATTTACCCATGATCATGATTAAAATCAGTGGTTCTTAAGCCTGCATGCACATAAGAATCACTAGACAGCTTTAAAAGCAAAACAAAGTAAGCAAACAGATAATAATTGCCCCCCAAAAATCCTTAAATGAGAAATACCATTATAAATTATTTTGAAAATAATCCAGGATTGGACAGTGGGGAGAAGTGGGTAGGAGTAGAGATCAAACAAGATTGGCCACATTTTGATAATTGGGTTCATTATACTATCCTCTCTATTTTAGTATATACTTAAAATTCTGCATGCCACAGCTCTATTGTCCAGAGATACTAATTTAATTGGTTTTGGTGACTGGTATTTTTGGTAGCCTCCTAGATGATTTTTAAAGTGCACTGAAGGTTAAGGAACTATGACTTAAATAAATAGCACCACCACCAACCACAATACACCTTAACATGTTTAAAGTTTACAGCTTTTCAACAGATCTTTACAACCATGATCTCAGTCCATCCTCACAACCTCCTAAAATAGGGAGGGTAGTGTTTATGACTCCTATTTTGGAGTAGAACTAACCAAGGCACAGACAATGTGAAGTCACTTGCTCAGGATCACATAAATCATTAAGTGGCAGGGCCAGGGGTAGAGCCTAGGCTGCCTTTCTCGCGTTAATGCTTATCAGTATGAGAAAAAGCAGGATTGTTCATAGAGGATGGAATTAGAACCTGGAGTCCACACAACACAGTTGTATTATAACCAGAGAAACCTCTTGGATATTGTCTGGGTGGCCTTTGAATTCTGAGCCTAGTCTCCAGAGCAATCCAGCATTTGGAGGGGTGGGGTTGGTAGATTCTCCTGTGACTGATGTGTGTTCCGATGTAGAAAAAGGGCAAAGATAAACAGAGCCAAATACTTGTGGGCCTATCCCTACCATAGACCCCTCAGCACCTGTTTGTCTCCTACCTTTCCTGAGATTGTCCCCACTCTCTTTTGAAGCTTGGGCCCTTTTGTCCTTGACTTTAGAAAACACATCCACAGTACAGATGTGCATTTGCCATGGCAACACCTGTCCCTCTCCACGGCTACTTTCTGCCACCCCAAATACCAGCCTTGTTGCCATGGATTTCCTAGAGCGAAGGTTGGGTGACAGATTGGCTCTGCCTGGAGTGTAGTATCATGAGTCTGAGATAGAAATTGAGGGGCAGGAATGTCCACCATTGTGTCCCCGGGAAACAGATTTGGATCCTGACACCCTCGGCCCAAAGCCAATTCACTGAAATACTGATTCCTGCCCACACAGCCAGACACAAAGGAGCTTGCTAATCACCTCCGTGGACTCATTGCTGCTTCTTCTTCGGCGGATCAGCATAAATAGTAAAGCCACCAGCAGGGCTGTGGCCACCAGGGATGGGATGCCTGCTGCTAATCCAAGAGAGGGCCCACAGTCCTGCCATACAGAGAAGGGCAGAGTCAGGTTCTCCAAGAATAAAGGGAAAGTCTAGTTGATTAAAAATAAAACAAAACAAAAACCGCATAGCCTCTAAGTGTCATATACAAAATCAAAAGGTCAATAAAATACTGCAGAAAAGATGTTTGCAATATACATGACAAATGACTCATGTCATAGGACTTAATTTACATAGTTTGAATCAATAGGAAAAGGGTGACAATCCAGTAGGAAAAATGGGCAAAGGGTATGAACAGGCCATTCCTACAAACGGAAATACAGATGTCTCATCAACATAGCAAAAGCTGAGAAACAATTCAAATCAACGATTAGATACTATTTTAACCTATCAGTTTGGCAAAAAGTAAAAAGTTATATCCCACATCATTTTGATGTGAATGTTTACATTTACCTGCACTATATGCATTAAGCAATTAATTTTCAAATTTCCATTTTGCTTTGATCTGAATGGAAATGGCCATGCTTGTCTCCACCTAAATTTTCAAATTTGTAGATTACCTGGAAATATCAAAGATAACCTGCAGAATCCCTATAAACACTCAACTCTCTATATAACATACATACAGAAAAGTATATAAATCATAAATATATAGCTGGATGACTTCACATGTGGAACCCACACAGCTAACCAGTACCCAGATGAGGACTCACAACATGGCCAGGACCCCAGAAGCTGCCCCATACTCCCTTCTAGTAATGGCATGTGTAACCACTATCCTGAACTCTGTCACCGTAGATTAGTTTTGGTTTTGTTTTCCAACATCACCTAGATGGACATGAAAAGTCTGTACTCTTTTACGTCTAGCTTTTTCTGCTTAACACTTTGTAAAAATTGCCTGTGATTCCTGCATGCTCTCCCTCATTTTTGAGCTGAGTTGGTTGTAAGAATAATTGTTGAACCAGATTCTGTGTTTGGTGACAGTTCATGTATTGAACTTTACTCCTCAAAACTAAGGTAGAAAATGGCTAGATTATTATTCCCATTTTATAAGTGACCAAACCAAGGTTCCATTATGTAGTGATATACTTACTGCTTCTTTCCCACTTGTAGCAGGTGGGGAGGAAGTCTGTGTGGGAAAAGAACATACATCTTAAAAAAAAAAAACAACAAAACCACACAGGGCACATTATACAAACAGCCTATCCAAGGTTAAGCCATAATGCCTAAATGCCCTAAGTGGTAGATGCCTTAAGTGGTAGATCCAGAGTTCATGCTCTTCACCACGGGGCTACACTTCCTTCCGTGACCAAATGCAGCACACCAATACAGTTTTTGTCCTTGACAGTTCAGTATGGCTCAGCAGAGACTGACTTGCATATGTACCCTGGTTCCAAACCCCCCTGCAGATAGGCTCTGATGAGCCAGGTATTCACCTCTCTCCTACTTCCCAGAGCACTGGCATTCCGGTCGTTCACCTGCACCAAAAGGGAAGTGTTATTTATTTATTTTTTCCTAAGTTTCATTTATTTATTTTAGAGAGAGAGAGTGCATGCGAGTGAGCAGGGGGAGGGGCAGAGGGAGAGAGAGAATCCTGAAGCAGGGTCCCCGCTGAGTGTGGAGTCTGACCCACGGCTCGATCTCAGGACCCTGAGATCATGACAGAAGCCGAAATCGAGAGCAGGCAGCTCCACCGACTGAGCCACCCAGGTGTCCCCAAAAGGGAAGGGTTATGCAATAGAATGTAACTGCCAGATAAGGTTACCAACCATCCAGAGAACTTGCCCAGGATATAGGATGTGCACTGCTAAACCCAGACAGTCCCAGACAAACCGGGATGGTTGGTTGCCCTACACAGGTCCAAAGGGAGGAAGGGACGGTTCTCAGAGAAATGGGCTATTAACAGAGAAGGCATTACAAAAGGCGATGACTGGCATCATAAGGGCTTCCCTCTCAGCCTCACTCACCTCTACCGCCCCGAGCTTCTCTGAGTTACCCTCATAGGGTAGGCCAAGCCAGGATAAGACAGAACCTGGGGTCTCCACAGACCTGCTGAGTTCAAGCTGTCAGGGAGAATGTTCCAGCAGGGACCATATCAAAAGGTTCTGACAGGTACAGAGAGGGCTGGGGAGTCTGACAACAGTCAGAGGCTGAAGCAGGGAGCAAAGCAAGACAGGGAGATCCCGAAGGCAGAGGGGGTGCCAGGGTAGGCCAGGGACAGAGATCCAGGGCGGCCAGTAGTGGGCGCCAGAGGCAGGCAGTGAGTCACAAGATGGACCCTTTCTGGGGCTCTCCAGGACCATGTCTCCGGGTTACAGTAACAATGATCACTGGCTCACGCATTGTCTCACCAGGCAGATTCTGCTTATTCTCTTTGAATAACAATGTAACTTCTCAGGAAAATTTGGCACAACTCCAAACCCGCTAAAAAACCCGGCCAGGAAAATGCTTGGCTCAATCAGAGCTGTGCTGCGAGTCGGAAAACAGCCCTGGCTGTGTGTTACCTCTAACACAACAGGAGAGCAGAAGACAGAAGATCGGCAAAGGACTGAAACTACATGCCTTCAGCAGCTGACAGTCTCCATCTGACTTGGAACTAAATGCCATACTCAAGAGCCATAAACTGTTCGTTCTTGTTGACCCAGCAATGCCTTCTAGAACATATACTAAGGAAATCACCTTAAATGCAGACAAGGATTTAGCTATAACTATTTTTATTACAAAATGATTCCTAATTGTGGCTAACAGATCAAAGAAATAATTCACTTGAAGGAATATCACATGACTATCCTCAGTTATGGTTATAAGGGCTGATGGAAAATATGTATCATAAAATGTATATAAAATCATATGTAGAGTAAGAATACAATGGTACATTTGACAACACATGTCAAAATATATATAAAGTCAAAATAAAGATAAAGTCAAACAGGACTAGAAGGAATGACACCAATGTTTTCTGCTGATTGGAATTTAGGTGTTTTGATTTTTTTTTCTATTTTACTTTCAAAATGTTTATTTATAATTTTTATTATTGAAAAAGTTTGTCTCAGCACTTCCCCCCCCCCACAACTGTTCATAAGTGCCTTTGAAAACCTGGGATTCGGCCCTCAGCATGAGGTCCAAGTGAAGGAGCTCTGCCCGCCCCTCCTCACCCCACCCCCAAGCACGTGTGCCCATCTGCCCCACTTGCCCGGTGACTGGGGCCTGCAGCACTTACCGTGTTGGCCGGCAGTGTGAAGTTCAGTGAGAAACTCTGATGGAGAGAAGGAAACATTAACGCTCCAAGAATGGCCAGCCAGGCTCCTGACCCCTCTACCGACTGTCACCCAACCTGGTGGGTCACAGAAAAATTCACTGATTCCACAGGCTCAGTCAAACCCCAACCTCTGCTCCCAATCTCGGCCCCTCTCCCCTCCTCAGATCCCCAGCCAGGGCCCGATGAAGGGGCCAGTCAGTGATTGCCTGATGGGTCCCAACCCAGAGGGCAGCAAAGACCACGTTAGAAATTCAGCAAAGCACTGAAAGTTGTTTTCCCCCAGAGCTCCTTTGAGGGAGGGAATGGTATGAGTTTAGAAGGACTTGGTACTTTCTGCTTGGGGTAGGAAGTAAGGGCCACGAGGGGCAGGCTCCAATAAGAACACCTGCTCTGAACCCCCTCCCCGGGAGAGAGGGCATGAGAAGGACAAGGCTTCTGTGCGTGCTGAGTCTGAGACACAGGTTGCAGGCTCAGGCCGAGCTGCTCAGGACAACAGAGGAGAGGGAAACCCTCTGTACCCTCCCCTCACTCAGCACCCAGCCTCACCTCTCCCCCAAATATGGAGTCAATATTGGAAGGTCGTGAGCTCCGTGGGGCACTGAGTTGTTAGCCTGTGCGAACCTCCCATGGCTCCTTCCTCCACCCTGTCTCCATCTTTGTCACTGCGGTCTGGGCTAGCCGAGGCCAGTCTGTCCAGGCTGCTCTTTACCGATACCGAGATAAACACTCTTCTAGGACAATATTGGAGCAAGAGGAATATCCTGCGCCACCTTGGCTCCAGGGCTTCCTGCTCAAGGGACCCAACCACTGCCCTCTGTGCTAACACCAACCAAGCCCACAGATGCTGCAAGGGCACTTGGTGGCCACTGTGTGGGACGCAGCTGCCCAGAGCCTTATCTCATCAGTGAATACTGGGTACTGATGTCAGCAGGCCCAAGACAAAGGTCCCTTTGGGGGGACAGCAAAAGAGGGGGAGCAGCAGCAAGTGGGCCATTGCGTGTGCTGTTTATCAGTGTCTGGATGACGAAGATTTTGGCCAATTTCAGAAAGACATTCCTATTTTGTAGAAATAACACTCCAGTGCTCTTGTGGCAAGAAAAACATCCCATCAGTTTTGGTGGGGAGAATCTGAGGCTGTGTCCTTTAGAGAGGCCACTGGGTAGGGTGAGGCAGCCCTGGGCTTGGAGTCACCCGATCTGGGTTCCAGTCCAGACCCAGTCACTTAGGAACTGTGTGGCCTTGGAAAAGTGACTCAAAGTCTCTGGTCTCCATTTCCTCACAGCAAATCTGTTTTCCCAGCCTTAAAACAGGGGTGATGTTAACTCGCTTTGCCCAGAAGCACAAAGGGAACAACATCCAAACTGTAAAATGCTCTAGGTGTGTAGCAGTGCGGGGGCATCACACAATGTCATGTTCTTCATGGCCTGGCCAGCACCGAGCAAGGCACAAGGAAGCCACTTGGGAAGTTCTTATTGGATGGAACTGCATGCATAGATTAGCAACATTCCAAGCACTGAATTTGCTACAATGCACCGCTTGCTAGTCTATAAGCACTCTGTAATGTCTGCATAACAGCTCTAAAGGCACATGAGGATCTCAGTGGTCAAGTGTCCCTCACTATGAGCTTGCCATTTGTGAGGGGAAGCGGGGAGAGGCAGGATAATTGCTCACTGTCCTTGAGGGGACGCTGTATGTCACACACCGCATGCATAACCGTCCCGTAAGGGGAACGCTACCATCCCTACATCGTGGATGTGGGGACTGAGAGCAAGACTGGTTGCTGGTAAGTGGTCTGGGACTGGTGGTCAGATCACGGATCTTTCTAAGTCCAAAGCCGGAATTCAACTCTTTCTCATAATCTCTTTAATAAAAGAACCCCAGAAGCCTCTTCTAACGTAGCAAACTTCATCTGATTGAGTCACACCCAAATATGTGTCACAAGTCAGTAAGAAAATCGGAACGTTTCCAATGCCATTTCTGAGTATCTACGTTGCTGATCACATAACGGAAGGCAGACTGAGCACATGAGGATAAAGGCAAGGCTCCCACCCATTGCTTCAACTGGGAAATGAATTTGGCCAAAACATCCACTTTGCGCCCTTGTTGTATGTGAGGTTTTAAACACAAAACCTTAATATTAAAGTAAAAGATGAGATCAGCAAATATTAGATAAGAATTGTTTTAATGATTAGTATTTTGCATGCAGGAAGATAACAATTTAAAAAAACCACCCAAGCCCCTTGAAGTCCTAGTGCTGACAGTACCGTCCTATTTGCATGAGGAGATGTGAGCTTTCAATGCCTGGGAGTTGTTCTTTATAGCGAGAAGGGAAGGTTAGGCTGAGCTAGCCTACTCACCATTTCTGACAGCCTCCCGAGAACCTTCTCCCAACACCACCCTCGGCAAGCTCCTTTCTTGCTTGCGCTGTGGGCTTATGTCTCACATTTGTAGGAGCATCCAGCTGGGAGAGCCAGGGTGACAGGGCAAGGGGTGGTTCCATGACAGCCAAGCCATTTATGGTCAGGGGAGTAGCTGAGTTGCCTGCCCATCCCTCAGGGAGGTGGTGTCCTGCTTCACGGCCACTGTGGTTGGCCCCACCACCCACCCTCTTTGTTTTCTTTTTCTCCTTACTTTCCAGCCTCCTTCCTTAGCTACGCCTCCATCTCAGCAGAGAACCCATGGCTAGCTTGAGAGCTCGGTGGCTTCTGCGGCCGGCAGCTCTTTAGCAACAATGGGACCCGCAGGCTGAGGCCGGCCACACCCTCCCCCGCTGCCGGCGTCCGTGTGGCCCACTGTCCCAGCCTCCGTGGGGTCAGCACACCAACAGCATCAACACAGGGGATGGCTGCGTGAGGGGTGTTGGAGGCCAGGCTGCAGCCCCCCGGTGAACACACTCCCTGGTCAGTGAGCTGCCTGGAGGGGAGTTTAGCCTCACCCCCTTTCTGTTCTCACGTTTTGAGTGGGGACCCTTGTAGAGTTGGAGGAAGCCACTGACGGGGACTGCTTTATATTTTTGATGAGGTCTTTGTTAGGAATTTGCTTCTTTAAAACAGGGAGGGAACTGGAGTCCCATGCCAACAAAACAACAGAATTCTGACCGATAAATCTGATCACTTAAGTGAATGCATTGCTCATGATTCAACAAAGCTTTCTGGCACTTTCTGTATGTCAAGCGGTTTTCTGGGCATGGTTCTGGGCCTCGGCGATGAGGCAAATGAGGCCCCAGCTCTTGGAGAGTGTATGTTCCAGCAAGCGCAGGTGGACCCCAATCAGAACAAGTGAGACCCACTAGGAGAGGAGCAGAAGGAGTGACCGGAGTGACTGGGAAACAGTTGCTTTCGATGTCCCTGGGGGACACACATATTTAAGATGTGTGGGACAGACAAGAGGGTGTCTGGCAGAGGGAACAGCGTGTGCAGAGCTCCAGGGCTGAAGCAGGCACGGCCTGGAAAGAGGCCCGTGGTCCTGAAGGAACATAAACCAGGGGAGCGACCTTGGAAGGAGTAAGACAGAGTGAGTTACATGTGTGGAGTTTAAGAAACAAAACAAACGAAGGAAAAAGGAGACAAGAGTCTTAACTACGGAGAACAAACTGGTGGTTACCCAAGGGCAGGGGGGTGGGGGATGGGTGAAACAGGTGATGGGGATTCAGAGCACACTTATCATGATGCGCACTGAGTAATGTACAGAATCGGTGAATCGCTATATCGTAGAACTCAGACTACTGTAACACGGTATGTGAACTACACTGGAAACAAACAAACAGAATGTCTTAGCAACAACAACAAAAGACTGAGTGAGTTAGGGGCCGGATGGGGTGAGCATGGCAGGGCGCGGCAAGATTTCCATCGTCGAGCCATGGGACGGCTTTCAGGAGTCTAAGTGGGAGCGGAGCTAGGTGACGTGGACGCAGGTCACCTGGCTTCCCTGTGAAGCCCGGATTACAAGGGCCGCCCTGCCAGCAGCGAGCAAGTGAGCGCTGGTGACGGCCGCCCGGGGACGGGGGCAGTAGAAATGGAGAGCAGTGAATGGGTCCGGGACTTACTGTGGAGGTAAAGGCAGTGAGATTTGACAGTGGAGTAAAATGTGCAGAAGGAAGCTGACTCCTGGGTTTGGGACTCGGCTCACAGAGGGCACAGGGGCCCTGTGTGTTCAGGCAGGTGATACTGGAAAAATGGATGTGGGGCGCAGGGATCCAGGCCCGAGGATACCGGACCGAGCAGGAACCACATGGCCGGTGCTTCACGGGGCTTCCAGCTCCCAAGACTCCACGGCAACGCCTCGGCTGACGTCCTTGTGTCTGGATGTCATGGAGACACAGTTCAGACAGGCCCGTGTTTAACGCCTCAGCTGCAATTGTGGAAGCTGCACGGTCTTAGGCTAGCAAAGTAATGTCTTCCAGCCTCAGTCTCCATCTGTAAAGTGGAGCTGATAAGGTTTACAATGACAGACTAGTGAATTCAGTACGACCAGTACAGAGTGTGTCTCTAACTTGGCGTGGTGGGCATAGACCCCCACCTGGACCAGAGAACTGCACCCAGGGACTCTAGTTCATGGCCCCCGCCCCCTCTGGCTAGGCTGTCTATGGGGGGTAAGGCCAGTGAGGTCCTTCTTGATTCTTTCTGTTTGCTATACACCCACTGACCACCACCTCTCCCTCCAATGGACAGGTTATTCCTTTAAGAGAATTGCTAAGACCTCTAGTCAGTGGTGCACTGGCCAAGTGTCCGGGCCAGTCGTGGTTCTCTGGTCACAGGCATCCAAACGGGCCATGATTAACTTAAGAAGAAGGGGACTTTATTGGCTGGGTATAGCAGAGCTCACAGAAGGAAGAGAGGGCCAGGGAAGCAGGCTCTGGGAAGGCGGAGCGAGGCTGCTCCTGAGGCTTCAGCAGCAGAGACTTTTCCACTGTCTTCTCAGGATATCCCCCCAGGGAAAATGAGCTCCAAAACATCGCAGCCCTTTCGCCCCTTGATCAAGACTTCAATTCCAGGAAGAGGATCTGATCGGTCTGGCTGCGGTCATGTGCCCCAGGATGCCACGCCTTCCGATTGGAGACTAGGTGGTTTGTTCTGCGAAAGGAACATGGCACCATCACTCAAAGAAGAGGGAATGGGGAGATGAGTGGTCTCTCCTCCTCTGGCAGTGTTAGGCCTGGGAATTATCTTCTCAGGAACTGTAGAAAGAATGCCCTTTTGTGGGTGAGACATTGGCAGCCACTGACGCGAAGATGCTCTCATTTTTATCTTGTCACCATTTAAAGTTGTACAATCACACAAGTGGTTTGCCAGGCAATAACTGGCCAGTTTAAAAACCTGGACCATGCCAAAAGACCAATGGCCTGACTCTTGATTTTTTTAAATCTGTATCTAAATTGTCAGTAAGGAAATAGTGATGAAGTAAAATGTTAAAACACACAGAAAGATTCTGGTCATTTCTCTATCTATGAATGTCACATGTGAGAGTCCTTAGTGGGGTCCAGTAGATATTTCTGGAGTCTAAGTGGGAGCGGAGCTAGGTGACGTGGACGCAGGTCACCCGGCTTCCCTGTGAAGCCTGGATTACAAGGGTTCATCTCATTCTTAACCCCAAGTTAAGAGTAGCTGTATGCATTGCTTTGGCCAAGGACATGGGAGTGGAATTGATATGGCACTTCTAGGCAGCTGTCAGAGACATTGCATGATCTAGAAATCAGCAAAGCTCCAGGTAGCAGCAGCACCATCATCCCCGTCCTGACCAAGGCTAATGTGGAAGAGCTTCCAGACGCGAGAAATGGACACGCAGTAAGAACAAGAAATAAGCCTTTCCTATGTCATTCTTGATATCCGGGGGTTGCTTTTGACGCAGCATAAACTACCTTATCCTGACTGATCCCTCAAGCATTCACACCCTTGTCCCATTGGGGCTCCTCCTTGAGGTACTGGTGACTGCAAAAAGGAAAGTCCTAAAACCTTGACACTCCACACGTGGCACCAAATAGTTGCAGAAATAGTT